ATTAACATTAGTTAACATAACGTGTAACGTAGTGTTTGCTGGATTCTATCTCATTTTCGCCAAATATATATCCTTCATTTTAAATATGTACATACAACGACTACGAAGAACAGACTTTATAAAATATATCTCTACCTAATATAATTTTATTAAAATATCCGCAAATTATTCCCTATTTGGCACGTATTCGACATCTCTCAAATATTTTTATTTATATACTTGTCACACACAAAGGTATAACGAATATCAATGTGCTTGCTCCTCTAGACGGATTAATTTAATTGTGTCTTTAATTATTTATGTTAATTACGATAGAATCAGTCCATTGATACTCGCTGTCATATAATTAATTAATCTTTTCGTATCTGATAAGGCATATAAGTTTTTTTATCTGATACCATTTGAATGTCGTCTAACAGGATATCTGTTAAAACCGTCAGATTACGGATTAAGATTGAGATTAGATTAGAATTAAATCAATCAGAAAAAGAAAACCAATCTTAAGTTTAGTGAATTTTGTTCTGATTAGCTAAATTTTACTTCAAACTTAATTTGTAGTCTGATATAAGTTTTACAATATAATTTTTTTACTCTATGATAATTACGTCCAATTTCATCAAGTACAAAAATAATATCAAAGATTTTATTTAAACTAATTGATTATTTTGGAAAAAGCTTAGAGAGAGAGCCTATTGCCTAGAATGAAAAACAGACATTATACGGAATTGCCACAGTGATTACTTATATTGGATGATTAGAATTTACTTACGCGAAAAATTGATAAACTCTCTTTAGGTAAAAATTCAAAGTTCCCCTAAACGTAAATGGAGTTTAATCATCATCGCGCGTTAGACGTTTGGCGATCTGTGTAGCCGTTGCGGATATTTTTAATAAAAAAACTCAGCAATGCTATTAAGTGTAAATGGGAAAATTAGTTGATTAGTTATTAATCTTGAAGCCTCATAACTTGAAAAGTACTTAATGAAAAATAACTTTATTATATTATAGTATTTCGAAAAATTCTCGAAGTCAGCAATGGAATAAAAAAATAATGATTTTCATTTAAGAGTTTCAAAGTAATTTTTATATAATTCTAACAATGCTGTTCAAGTTCACATTATATTAAAACTTTATAACTTTCATGTGGAACATTCTTTCTGTTTTATTTTCAATATAAGCGATTGTATCACTTGAAATAAAGTTCCCCTCTATAGCCTAGTATGTGTTGATTATAAATATTGTATTTATGAAGACATATATAAGTATCGTCGGACAAATGGCTTCGATTTTAATGATTCAAAGATTTCTTAGGACAATTTTATGAGAAATTAGAAGTTAAATATTAACAACTTCTTTAATGCATACTTGCGCGCGCGTGAAATGTGCGTATGAAATTGCCTGGTAATTATAATTCTTTCTTTTATCTTTTTCTTATTAAGATTAACATAATATTATTCAAAATGTTAAGCAAATGTTTTAATTGAAAAAAGAGCCTTTAAATATATTTTTTTGCATATGATTTAAAAATGTACAAATTTTGAGAATATGCGGAGAAAACAATTTTTATAAAAAAGGAAAAACGAAAAAGAAAATTAATTAATTTTATAAAATCTGTGTAAGATAAAGATGTTTCTGTGGCCGAATATTTAAGAGTTAATCATTATTAAAAGCATGATTCTTTAATGAAAATAATATTTTTTCGCTTTTTTGTACATACATAATTAAAATTAAATTTTAATTAATGAAAATTAAAAAAAAATTTTGATTATCAATTTGTAATTTATTAAATATTCGTGAAAATTTTTGCATGTATACAATGTCGAAACAGTTTAAACAGGCTATATCCTAAAATCCGGACATATGTCTCAATATCCGATTGTAATGACGATTAGTAGCTGATATTAGTTGCTGATATTAGGAATTTATTTAAAAAAGATTTATTTAAAAGATAAATTACAATAAAATTAATGTATATACAAGATGTCTGATTCCTAATAATATATCGCTTATGTGCAGGTAGAGCGAGTGAAACTGAGATGAAAAATCCTCTACCATTTTGCCATTTTCGTAATTAATAACGAGTTATTAATTATTCCAAATTATCGAATGAGCTCGTGTTCATCCGCTCCATCGGCAAATGACAAACACACAAGAGATGTGACCGTCTAACGTTACGCGCGTTTGTGACGAAATGTTTGGACGTGTACACTACAAGCAAATTCTCTTCAAGTTTTATCATTTGTAAATTTTACGTCTAAGGACCACTTTTATCAACTCCGATTAATTTAATCGACTGATTATTTCATTGGAATTAACCAATCGCAATCTATCCATAAATTTAATAACAAATATGATTAGTCAATTCCAATAAGAGGATTTTTCTACTTGATCCATTCTAGCTTCACACAAATACGATGTATTAAAAATCAGACACTCTGTATACACACACACACACACACACACACACACACACACACACACACACACACACACACACACACACACACACACACACACACACACACACAATTTTGATTTTTTATATCTTTTCCTCTTTCTTTTTAATTTTTTTCTTTATTGTTTATAAATTTCTTTTGTCTCGAAACACAGAAATAAGAATACATAAATAATATTACCGTATCTTATATTAATATTATTTCCAACAATTACAACATAATTCTTTAATAATATAAATATAATAAGATATAATAAATGTTAATAATTTATTAGATTGTTAATATAATTTTACTAATAATTATAGAATGATTATATACAATAATAATATTATATACAATAATAAATTAAGATATCTTCAATAAAAATTATGTACATACATAAACTTATTTTTAAATATAAAAATTCGTTATCGATAAATTTAGGCAGTCAGATATATGGATGTACATTGGGACAGTTATAAATTTATCTGATTTCAGTAGCCGGACATTGAAATTTATATAAAAATGATTTAAATAAAAAGAAATGTTCCAGATATTATCTTTAAAATAAGATATTTCTTTTAAAAAGTGATTTAAAATGCTTTCCTTCAGTACTACAAAAATCACTTCCTCTTCGTAAAATGACTAAAGTTAATCATTTCATATAACATCAGCGTATTAATTATTATATAATATAATAAAATTTTATAACTCTAAATTTTTAATATAAAGAAACATACATTAATAAATCAATAATTTTTTAAATATTTATTAATATTTTAAAATTTATATTTATAAATATTTAATAATAACTGCTTTCTCAATATATGATTTGAAATTGGGACATAACTGATGAAACATTTACCTTAAGTAATTTTCCTATTGCATTACATTGATAAATCGACATTAATTTGCATTATTTTTCAGTCTTCTATTTCGTCAGAAATTCGAAAATATCTAATAATTCTGATTTGTAACATTTTGAAAAATAACAAATAATATTCATAGCATTTTTGTTATAGCTGATACTCGAATGCAATCATGTTTGTGATATGGACAACGTTAATTATATTAATCAAAGACATAAGCTGCACAAAGATGTGGAAAAGGTGAAATGTGAGATAATTCGATAAAAATGGAATTTTGTTACATATAATTATATTTATTTTACTATTTAAAAAATATGATAATTTAAACAAATTTATCCGAATAATAATAACCCTGAAGACGAAATATTTTTTGCTTTAAAATTATATTACATCTATTTTTATTTACAATAAAAAAATTATTTTATTCTAGATCGCCTTTAAAAGTAATAGAAAAAATTTTTAGTTTAGTGGTTTAAAATTAGTGATTTAGAATCTAGATCAAAACTTATTTATATAAAATAGAAATGTGCTTTAATAAAAATGTAATAAAGAAAAATGACGAAAATCTCAATTTTTTTTTTATATAAGTACTTTTAACTATTTAAGATGATTTATTTAAAGTTCTAGTGTGATGTAGAGATTAGTTGTTTTATAAATAAAAATTAAATTTTTAATTTTAGTTAACAATTGAATTTTATTAAATTATTTATTATTTTATTAAATTATTTTATTATTATTTTTATTAAAAATACAAATGAAACAAATGATGGTATAAATAAAATAAAATTCTATAGAACTAATCTTTGTGCCAGTTTTTAAACCAGCTAAACTTTTTGTATTATTTTTAAGTACATTTTAGAATAATCTGTAAGTTTTTCATAATTCTTTTATTGCAAATGTAAAAATTATAAAAATAGGTATAATACATCCTTAAGGCTAGAATAGCCAAAGTTATGGTAATTTTTTAAAAAGATGATTTATGTCATTTTTTCAATTTCTAGTTAATCTTAATTATTTATTTTCTTAAACTATTGAAATTATAAGTTAATGATTTATGTAGGAAATTGATATTAATGTTGGGAAATTGCATTTTCTCGTACATGTCCATCGCGTACGTAGTTCCTATGGAGTACTAATTTTGATACAATATTTTAATATTGTTATTGTATATTACTGTTAAAAAGACAAAATAATAAGATGCCAGCAAGAAATAAACATAGGGCGTAGTTCTTCTTACTCCACAGACGGACATACATTTATCTAATGCGATCAGCCATTATATATGTTAAGAAGCAAAACTCACTACAATTAAAAATGCAATGAAATATATACCTTATTCTCGAATCATATATATCGCACACACGAAAATTTATAATATAAGATCCTTAATGTATTATAGAATTTTTGCATGGGTAGGCCTATTTTGTAACTTTTAACGACAATACCGTTATCGTTATATTGTTGTGCAGCTTTTTTACCATGTATTATATCTGTGCAATGATAACGATATTGTCGTTAAAACTTATAGAATAGACCTACTGAGGAGCCCGGTGATTGAAGATTATCGATATAAATTGTTGATAATAAATTATTAATATAAATTTATGATATTTAATATAAATATTTGAATAATAAATATTAAATTCACAATTATTATTATTCATAATTATTATTCATAATTATTTATGCATTACTACATATGCTTCATAAATAAGTATGCATACTTACACTGCTATAATATCATATATATTGCCAAAATTATCATTTCTCTTTTACAGTTATCATCTTTGTATGTAGATGTAGATAATCAAATGGTACACGCATACACATGGTAAACAGATGGTAACTATAAAAATGCAGTTTTAAATAAAATTAAATATGTGCAAGTTAATAAATACGTATTTTTGTCTACAAAATATCAGCATAATAATAAACGAATAAATTAATATTATATTTTGAGTTAGCTGAAAGATACTGTATTTACTAAAAACTTATTGAAAAATGGAGGAAAGTATTGAAAAATAATATAGATTACTTTTACGATTAAACTATTAGTACATTCGATAATAAATATTGAATTTTATAAAAAATAATGATTTATCTATTTGTATACTTAATATTTCGGCGTATTTCAATATTCAACTTTTTAATATAAATCTGTAAAAATATTATATATCTTGCACTTTTTCGTTACTTTTCCATTTTTAATTATTCTTAGAATTTATAATATTTCGGTTTTAAATTAAAAGTATAATTTATATCGAAATATATTCAACAATGTTTCAATTATTTTTATTTTTCGTTTCATTGTTGCTTTTAATAATTTCAGCAGTTTATTTTTACCAATGTTTCTATTAAATTTTTAAAATAAATAATTAATGTATATAATATCGAGTTGACATCGAATGACATTAAATAAATGTTTTCTTTAAATTAGTATTTTAAATGAATAATTATCCATACAGCATAGGTCTTATAATTGTATATTACAATAGCATTGCAATGTTGCTACAATAATTGCAAAGTTTATAAAATAAATATTCAATAAATGTTAAATATTATTTCTATAATAAATTGTACAATGTATAATTAGAAATGAATATTAAAAATATATATTTAAACGTTGATACGTTTAACTAAATTTAAGAGAATTTTACAAAATTATAAAAATTTTTAAAATGACTTTGCACATAAAAATCATCAAAAAGTATATATAAATTAAATATGAAGATATTTAAACTTACTTAACTTTATAACTTATTTAACTGATAGAAATTTAAATGAAATGTAAATATATTTTTAACATACTAATTGAAAAAAATTAAAAAATGTAAAAGAAATTGAGTAATTAATCAAGTATTTCATTACATGTATATCAAATGCTCATATTAAACTCGTATTGAGATTAAGATTAGATTGGAATTTAACCAATCCGAACAAAGTTTGCTAAAGAGATTATTTTTTTTTCCTAATTAATTAAATTCCAATCTAATTTTAATCTCAATCTCCAGTTTGATATCGGCTTTACAAATATTCAACTATTTAATTCTTACAATACATTTTCTAATATTTGACTAATTGTTGAAAAACTTGTCATTATACAATAAATAAATTTAATGTAAAATCTGCTATTTACTACACATAAAGACATTGTCGATATTGTTGATATTATATATGATATTGATATTATATATTATAATAAAAATACAAAATAGTACAACTTAGAAATGTTACGCAATAATGACTAGTTTTCTTACAAACATTTATAAAATTTATGTAAAAAAAATTAAAACTTGTTGATTTTTTCAAGGTTTATCACCATAGCTGCAGATATTAGAAATAGTAACAGATAACAAATAAACTTATAATCAACATGATATCTGCATACTACATAATATTTCTGCGTACTATATGCATAAACACATTGTGAAAGAGGGCAGTATCTTATCAAATCTATATAATTCTATATAATTATATGTTATTATATTATATTATATTCTATAATAATTATAATATTTAAAAAATGGAACGATACTTATCATTTTTAAAGAACCTTGTAAAATGTAAAATGTAGTATAATAAGACAATATTAACTTTTTATCAAACTTTAGATAATACTTTAGATAGTATTTTAAAATAATTATTTTTCTGTATTTTATACATACAATAATTAAAACAATATTTAATAGTAATTAATTTACGAAAATTGTTAAAATGATAACATAGACATATATATGCACGCATGAGTACCAGGCTTGCGTAAATAAAAAGTGCATTATATCGGAACCTTCAGTGTTAAGAGAACTTGAAATTTTAGTTGAAAATATAAATATAACATTTGTGCTAGTTAAAATTGAATTTATAAATGTGAATTCTTGTTAAATTTTGAAAAGTTGAATTCTTATTAAATTTTGATTATGTTTTTTAATTCTTTTTTTTTAAATAAATTCATGGATAAGTAAAAATATCCCTATCTTTATATTTATATTAAAAAAACTTCAGAAAAGCTGCTTTTTGCACAATTTTGATGATATGCATAATATACACAATAATCATTTATTTAATTTCAAAAAAATTATAGGTATTATAAATTTTAACAAAATTATAGTTTTTATATAATTTTTATATAAATAATTTTATATAGTTTTTATATAAATTCGAACAAAATACTGTCATTATTAACAATGCAGCCATTCAATACATAAAA